AAGCAGAATTAGAATCGATCGACTAAGGATGCTTAGCTATCGTGTGCTGCGAAGAGAAATGACCTCAACTCACAATCACACAAGAAGAATTTCCCAATTGAAATGAAACAATCCCCATTGATATTGCTATTTGCTCCTGAAGGGATCAATATAAAATAGTTGCTCGATGTGGTGAATACACTACCAAGACAACGAAACCCAAGCCAGCAAGGAAACTAGGGGAGCAACCCCTTCCCTGAGAAAAATTAAAACATGCACAACCCAGTCCATTTTCATCGTTAATCAATAGCATCATGCCTCTCACTTTATACATGCATAATGGCCGAAAGAAGGACGAAAACAGAGAAGAAGGAAGGAGAGGAAGAAGCACCAATGAAATGAAACATTCAAGTAAAAATCTTCTCTGCGCCAAGGGGTTCCGAACATATGGGGCGTCGAAACTTTACACCTCACAATGTAAAACAAATAAAAAATAATAATGAAAAGTAAACCAATCCCCGCCCCAATTTTTTAAACAAGGAAGCAAGTCAATAAACCAGAGAGCCAAACTTAAGCAAATGAAAAGTGTTGATGGGAAGAAAAACGAACAGGAACACCTTAAGGACTAGGTTGGCCACACGCCTCCATCATAACCAGCCGAGGCAGACAAAAGAAAGAAAGAAAAAAAGAGGATAGAAGAAAAAGACAAGAATTTAAAATGTTAAAGTTCAAAGAGGCATGCATCACACTTTTCTTCAAACAAAACTCTAGCAAGTTACTCGTGATATGGAGGCGGTGGGGTGCGCTCACGCGGCGGCGGCGGTTGCGGAAGCGGAAGTTGATTTTGCGGGTACTGCGGTTGTTGATACGGATGGGAATTTTGTGGACGGGGCGGCGGGTGTGGTTGGAGGTGATGTTGAAGCGGTGGTGGATGTTGGTGTTGGTGTTGGGGATGCGCTGGGTGATGCTGTGCGCCAGGAAGGGGTGGCGGTGGCGCATGTCCGTAAATTACGGGATGATATGGCGGGCTTAATGCCGCATGCCCCATTGGTACATGCATATATTGTGGTGGTGGTGGGGGTGGAGGAGGTGGAGGAGGTGGTGGGTGATGGGCATGAGCAGCATGAGGTGGAGGGGGGGGAGGGGGTGGTCGATGATAGGTTGCCGGAAGATATGACATACCCTGCGGCGGGGGCAGGTGAGGAGGTGCAGAGGAGAATGGATCAGGAAGTTCGTTTAGATGTGGGATGGAAGGATATCGATCGGAGGCGGGTAGGATACGGCGTGGCAGGTTGGGTAGTCCTCGAGAACCCGGTGGCGGTGGAGGAGGAGGTGGGAGAAGAGATCGTGGGTCGGTTGGCGGGATCATCTGGCCCAAGTACAGGCTGGGGGAGTATTGTTCGGTGTAATCCGCGGGGATGATGGTCTGTTAACCGTGTTTGATGAAGTGGAGGGTGACATGGCTGCGGGAGTGGCTCCTGAGGTACAGCGGGAAGATTGCGGAATGGTGCCAATTGCGGGCCTGGTAAGGGAGGCTCATATGTGGGCTGTTGTGCTAGCCGCTGACCAATGTCGCCCATAGCGGCATCAGCAAGAGCACTCAGCGCAGTAGGAGGTTCTACTGGCATTGCAGTGGAAGGTTTTCCCCCTACTGTGCGACCTTCTTCCTGCTCGCAAAGTTCGGTTAGAGCCTCCGTGAGCTGCGAAATTTTGTCGCTGACTGGAACCGGTGACCGTGTTGTCTCTTGGGCTATCTCCTTTATTTGAGGGGAAATGTCATTTTCCATCTTGGCTCGTTGTATAAACTCCTCCCAACCATAGGCAGCCCAGTCATAGAGTGCGGCACCCTTCGGGTCTCTGACAAACGAACTGTTGAATCCGCGAACAGAGCGACGATGAGAAGTAACGCTTCGCTCCGACCCCGATTCGTCGGTCTGCAATTTCCTCCATCAATATATTATTCTTTTCCATGATCTGAACTGTCCATGTCTGAAGAGTTGGAGACTTACCTCAGTGTGATCCTCGTCCTCAGCTTGGCGACGCTGTTCCACAAAAGCCATATAGCTCCCTTGGGCAGCGAGGAGATGCTCCTTCCTAACATGCCAGGATTTATCCTAGATGAAGTTAGTTTGTTGTAAAGTGAAAGGAAGGAGAGAGGGCAACAAAAATCTTACATGGAAGTTACTATTGATAAGTTCTTTGTTAGCCTCGAGCATGGCATCCGCAGATTTTTTACGCCAATTGTATTCATTTTCAATTATTTCCAGTCTCTTGCGCATTCTCGCTTTAAGACCATTCATTACTTGGTCGTATTCTGGGACAGCCATGTGTGCATTGGGATCTTTCATGAGTTTAGACTCTGATCGATTTGCAATGACGGTGAGCGCTGTTCGCTGGGCCGATGCGACTCGACGAAACACCTTATCCAGTTCCTTTTGTCTGTCACGGAGTTGCTTGATGACTGGGCTGGGAGACAGAGACATCTCGCGATCTATTGGTTGGAGTCTGCCACCACGCCCTCCTCTCCCAGCACCCCGACCCCGACCGCCTCTCCCACGACCACGGGTCCATCCTCTGCCTCTTGCCCTTCCTCTAAATCCACCGCGTCCACGACCTCGGCTCGGAAGTGTTGACAACGGGCCGGCAGACAACTCTCCAGTTTCAGACGGGGTTGCAGCTCGAGAATCCGATATCTCCGTTGGAGGGGATTCGCCTGCCCGTAAAGAAGATTCCAGTTCTGTTAACCGAGCAGGCGAGTCTGCATTGCGGGTCTTAAGTCGCGGCAGCGGCCACGGGCGCCTGGCTTCTGGGGCTATTATTTCCATATCATCACCACCAATTTTATCATCCTCGACTCTCTCAGATGGTGGGGAATCCAATCCACTGTTGGCAGTTGACATTTCCATGTTGTTTAGAACCTCCGCCGACTCATCACGCTTGCTAGCGGAATTTCGCTTCCTCGTAACCACATGGCTGGCCTGCTTACTCGCAGGTCTAACGTCTGGTTTTGTAGCCGGATTTTTATCTTTCTCCGCATTGGCTTCTACAAACTTGCTTTGAGGCTTCAAAACTTCCTCGGGAGAAGTTTCCAGTTCAGTTTTATAGCCCGAACTGCGACGAGGTCGAGAAGAATCTGTCCATGTCGATCTTAATGAAATTGACTGAGAATCGGATTTCCTAGTAACTGTACTGGGCGATTTTGACGAGGCATCATCTTCATTGGCCTCCAATTCGTCGGAACCAATATGGATATCAAGAGGCCTATTGAAGTCTGGTTGTTGTATGGCCAAGTCGTCAAGCGCCTCAGGTACGGAGCTCATATGATGAAACTTGGAAAGAATCCTAGCAGATTGACGGGTGGGACGCGGAGTGCTCGATTCCGAAATGCCATTTTCAGGAGCGATCTCTTCCTTTGTCTTTCGAGCTCTTTTTGCTCGAGGGGTTTGCGGGGGATCCGAGTGAGTTTGACTCGGCAGAGGTTCGTCATGGGTGATCCCGTTCAAAGATTTTGAACGACCAATACGCGCACGGCCCTTTCCCCTTGCTCGCGATCGCAGCGCCACGGCTTGCACTCGTGAGCGGCTCAAAGATGAAGTAGATGATGATACTGGATGCCCAGCAGTAACAGGCGGCATCGCCATTGAGCTCCTGGCAATAATACTCACCCTGAGGGAGAATCTGCTCCATATGCACTGCCCGATTCGTAATTTCGGTCCAGCTTGCGCTTAAGGCTCGTCATTCTTGTAAAGTAGAGAAGGAAGAGAGAGTATCTTCACTATCTTCACTATATCTCTCTCTAACTATTGGTTCGGATGAGGTCAGCTCACGTGATGGGAAAGAGAAGGACGGACACAGAGAGGAAGTGAACAACAAACACAAAGAAACAAAATCAGATCGAGAAGGAAGATCGGAAAGTACAAAAAAGATAGCATCACTCCATCAAGGAATAGTCGTATTCAGCAAGAAGGCTGGCAAGAAGATAAGGAATGTCGGGAGTGTAGATGTGAAACAAACCATCGAGGAACAACAATAGAGAAAAAAATAGGTAAGTAAGCAACACGACAGGAACTGAAACAACGAAGAGCTAAGAACAGTAATTAGAGTTAGGGGAAATTTGGAGAGACAAAACAGCAACGCAACATATAGTTATTCAAAACAAACACAACTTGGAAAAAATAGCACGGCGATGTAGTTAGTTGGTACAGCGTCAAACAACCAAAAATGGGGGAGGGAGAGGGATGAAGGAGAGAGAGAGAGAGAGGAAAGAAAAGGAAACAAGAAGCACAACAATAGAACTTGGTTTCCTCACGTTCTCATTGGTCGACGGCGAGCAGCAACTCTATTTTTTCTTTTTTCTTTTTCTTAATTCCAGCAGGGCTTATACTTAGGTAGGCTGGCTAGGTGAGTAGTAGTTAGTATACGGCCCCGTCAAATGACAAACTAGAAATACGAAGACAGATAGATTCCCTCAGCAGGCGGTGAGATTGGAGGGGAGCAAGTGTAAGGAGAGGGAGGCGACCAGAAGTTGAGAAACCTGTAGCAGAAGGAAAAGAAGCAGAAAGCAAAAAGCAGAAAAAGACCGTGTGAAATGACAGTTGTATGTTCAAAGTTTTTCTAAAAAAAAAAAAAAAAAAGAAAAAAAAAGAAGGCCAGAAATATCAAAACGGGGGCCGGGCTTTACAGTAACCAGACCAAACCACCCAACTGTCAAGACGTCACAACAGTTAATTGGAGGAGCCATGCATGCAGGTTACATGGAGTCCGGAGCGGACAGCTGGAGACAGGGGCGAGCGCAGGACCTTTGCCGGTACCCGGAACTACAGCAATGGGGCACGGATCACCACCCAAAGCAAGTCACCTCCGAGTTGGGTGGTAAGAAGCTTCTGAGTTTTTCTTCAGTAAGAGCGAGCCATGGGAGAAGAAAGCATATCCGCATATCCTGAGAATGTGTTTGTTGTCACTAACGAGCTGTGGTTAACGAACTATGTAAGGTAGGTAGGTAATCTGTAAATTTCGTACGGAGTACAGTAGTTAACTAGAGGTTAACTAGTTAAGTCAACTAGTTAGCACTGCAGGGCTCCCCCTCCGCCTTTACCTAGAATGTAAGATGTCTTCGGTAGAGCCAATTCAGGCTCCCTTTAATAATGGTTTTGAGGAGCACAGCCTTGCTATAAAAAGGCCGGCCTTGACGCGACACTCCCTGTCGGTCAGATCTCGAAGTTTCGCTAATGGTTCTCCCCTATCAGAGGGTATGCCTAATGGGTCATTGTAACTATCTATCGGTGGCAGGCATTGCTTATATCGGCGTGAACAATACTGATGCCAACAACCCCCCTGGCTACAAAGACCCAAAACAAAAAAAAAACCAATATATTATACAAATCTTGCCTGGTTAGTCCATCAAACCCCATTCCCACTCCCATTCCTTCATTGAAATTATTCCTTATTCCCCTAAGTTCTTCAACTATCATCATCTTCTTCATCTATCTTCTTGCCCCTGTCCTCCCTGAAAACATTCCTGCCTTGTAAACCTCAAAACATGGAAACCAATGGTTCCTTTCCCATCTGGCGTGTAGTCTTAGTCGATTCTCTTCGAAGGATTTGTGGTAAATCCCATAAATATAGGGCATGGTAGGTTCTTGGCAGTTGATAGGATGATAATATTGAATAGAGGATCAATCCATCGCATACGTTAGAATGAAAGGTGATGGTGAGGATGATCGATTGACCGATACGGAGTAGATAGTTTCCATTCCTTCAACTAGAGACGGAGGCGCAATATGAGAGGCAGCAAACCTATCAGGGGCATTTGCATGCATAACAACTTAAAAAAAAAAAAAAAAAGGGGGGAGGCAGCTGGCCTCTTCAAGGCACCTTAACCATCACCACTATCGCAGGGAGCACGGAACCAACCACTAGGTTTAAACTTAAAAGCATTTGATGGCGCTGAAGCACCAAGGGGCCCGTAACCTGAAAGTTGGGTTCATTGTGACTCTCGAGCGGGCGCAACAAGGAGCCTAGGCTTCCTAGTAACGTGATCACCCACCTAACGATCACTCCCACGTAACGATCGCGATTTCCCATACAAATTGACAAAATTATCCACCTCATATATCAATCATTTTTAAATATATTTGATATTTTATTGGTAATTTATAATATACTATCAAATCTAACTATTATAAGAAAATGATGATATAAAAGATTATATTATTCATTGTGTATTACATATATAAAAGTCCTAAATATTTCTTCATATAAATTTATATGAGATGTATTTGAATTACTAGCTGTATTTTTTATATTTCTATGAGAAAAATGCTAGTTTCTGTAATATTTAAATAACTTTCTTAATATATAGCCTTTTTATATATAAATTGAAATTTAAATTAATTATATAATTTTTTAATAGCTGTTAGAATTTAATTGAAAAATATCGAATAGTTCTATTAATAACAATACAGTAATCTGAATACATCTCATATAATTTATATATGTAATTTATTAAGAAAATCAACTGCTAATACACTTTATAACTCAATACATAATGCAGATTTTTAATATCTAAAAATTGTATAATCTACTATGTAGATATACATATATAAATTACATATTATATATAAATTTGATAGGGTTATTGTTGAGATTTATGTATCTAAGCATTCTTGATTTAGTATGCAAAATAGCGATCGTTAGGTGGGAGCGATCGTTAGGTGGGTGATCACGTTACGGGCTAGCGCCCCACACACTGTATATATCCGCCAAACTACAGAGTACTCCGTACAGAGTAGCTAGCACCAATAACAGCCACTCAGATTGAGCCCGGATTGCTTGTTTTTTATTAAAGAAGCTTCCGCAACTACTGCTTTTTCATCTATAAACGTCTCACGAGCTGCTACGCGGACCAGCAGAAGGATTTAGGCAATAGGCCAAGGGAGCTTGGATTGCGGGAAATAGGATTAGAACTTGATTGATTGATTGAAAGGAGAAATGAATGCCTTCTACCAAGGGGATGGAAACCCCAGCTAGCAATGATTATACTGAATACAAACCTACCTTTGGGGCACCGAGCGCCACGATTGATGATACCTTGATATGAATGATTGAATATCTGAGAAAAAAAAAAAAAAAAAAAAAAAAAAAAAAAAAAAGAGATGATTGGCTGGACAGAACGGACACAACGATGGAAAGGTATATAACAAAAACTGAATGAAAACTCTAATTCTCTGTCCACAAGAGATTGAGAGGATGTCAAACAAGGGGACGATGATGAGATGATATGAATCAACTGACTACGCGAGCCACTGCCACAGCTCCTCCAACTACCGAAGAAACCCCTGCAAGAACCATTCTAATGCCTACAAGAATCATCAACAGAATGAGAGCCGCAAAGATACCCATGATGAGATTGGCTACCAAGAATACCACCACCACCACCACCGCTGATGAACGAACCAAACGTCGACATTACTACCACGAACCGAAGCCTCATGAATGCCGAAAGGGTGAAGGATAGAAGGATAGAAGTATAGAATGATAAGAATAGATTGATACATATGATGAATAATGATGGATTTGAGCACTAATTGTGGTAATGTAATTTCATGTATCAGGCCTAGTTCTAATGAGGGACCCAGGTGCTACTTTGTGTAATTGATTATGGTTATTGCGGATTTGATTGAGGTTGAGATTGAGGTTGAGATTTGATAGTCCAGGGGAGGAGCCTAGGCTTCCTAGTATGGGACTGGCATCCGGCACACTGTATATGCACTTAAAACGTTCCAGGACTTCCTGTTCGGTCCCTCTGTAGGAGACTCTACGGCTTTCGCCTGTAGATACCGCGTTCTTCTTTCCTTAGTCGGTGTTTCTCTGTCTTTATTCCCCTTGGCAGACGCCATTCGGGGCCCGGGTAAGGGGCGATCTGGTTCAGTCAAATCGGTGTCAGAGTTGGGATCGTACACTGGATCGTCGTCTGTGTCGGAGCCTGTGCTGGAGGTCGTTTCGCTCGTAGTGGGCGGGCAGTTACCACGAGAAAAAAAAAAGATAATAAATGATAAGTAGATAAGAAACGGAAAAATGAAGGGAGAAAAGAAAACCAATTGAAAGAAATAAATAAATAGCTGGGCCAAATGAGAGCAAAGCAAAACTTCGTCCATGAAGTGATAGATATCTATATACAATAAACATGAGCCCTCCAGGTTGTTTCAATCATTATCAAAAATCCATTCACTATTACCACCAACCAAATAATAGTGTATATTAAAAAAAAAAGAGAGAGAACGAAAAAGAAAACCTATAAAACCATGAACGATCGTACATATCTAATGCCCAAGAAACCACCTCCGCTCCTTTTTCCCCCACGCCCCACAAAAACTATCTCCCATCATCCCTACCAGGACCCCTACTGGACTTCCTCTTCCCATAATCCACCCAACTTCCCCTATTTCCCGCCGCTAGCACAAACCCCGGGATCGGCATCTCCGTCCGCGTCGTGGTATCGTCATCCTCGTAATCCCCCTCCTGAGCGCCCTCATCCACCCTGTCGCCAGCGATGTCCAGGTCCATCATCGCCGTCTGCGCCAGGGGGCTACTCGACACCGGCAGCGAGAACGAGCCGGACTTGATCCTGCTCAGCGTGTTC